ATAAAGTCAACTTTATTTATTTTTTAAAACAGGGACCTTTATTATTATTCAATGTGTTTTTGTATGACAGGGATAGATTTAATGTGTTTTTTTTTATTATACTTTTTGTAAACTATAAATTCAAATATCTATAAATGATTTCCTAACATCTGAATGTTGATTGTAAATCCATCAGCCGGTTCTGAGGTGTGTAATGAATCAGGAATGTTAAGTCAAACAGACACGACTCAGCCCAAAGCAGATTGACAGTGCTTTATTTAAGCAGTCTGTAAGAAGGAAAATAATGTGCATCCCTATCATATACATTTACGTGTAAAAATACTAGGATGTACAGTGTACAAAAACAGTTTCTTGCAGATAAGCTTTCCACATCCGCGTGGGACCTACACTGTATTCAAGGAAATATTTTTTTAAATTATCATTTAATATGATGGATGGTAATACAGTTTTTCTTTATTTTTATATTTTTTTTCCGTGTTAATCCCTTCCATGTAAAATTCTTAACCACATGACTAGTTCTCAACATGGATCTAATGACAGAGCTAGCAAGGTCAAGAAATGCCACAAACTCTAAAGCTACATGGACATAAAATGTTTTTTTTTTTGTTTTTTTTAAGATTTGTCTTTTGTTTTTAAATAAATACTTTACAATTCATGCTCATTCATAATACACTACCAGGAGCGCGATATAGAGAAAGTCTGTTGTAGACAGTACAAACAGTAGCAGCAATGGCACGCTGAGGTGCGCTTCGGAGGGATGGCTCTCCATGGGTCCCTTCCTCACACTAGTTCAGGATTCAGGGAAGAATGACTTTAGGTTGGGTGTTTATTGTCCTCTGAAACTCTTGAAGTGGTGACACTGGTACAGATCAGCTTTTCTACAACACTAGAGCATTAGGAAATCTCGGGAAACATTAGTCTGTCTGTGTCACCAGGCAAAGGTTGTGTCTCCTGGCAGCGTTTCACGTCTATCTGCATCCACGCTGTTACATATACAGAGCACAATCACTCAGAAAAGTAAAGTAGCATGAGGTCTATGAGGCGCGAATCTGTGCTTTCAAGTATTTTCTTCTTTTTTTTTTTTTTCAAAGCATGGACCTTATTTCCTTATGCTGAGCTATATAAAAAGAGCAATGGGTATGAAAGTGCTACTACAGGCAGATACAAAGCCAAGTGTTAAAATATGGAGTTCCAAAAGTGTATGATTGATTTGGCCAAAGCCAAAGGCCCTTCTGCTGTTTAAATAAAGTATTCCCAATGAACGCATTTCACATGCAAGGTACCGGCCCAATAAACAACATTCTCTGCCTCTCCATGTCTTGAGGAAAAGTGCATATTAAAGATAATGAAATGGATGAACAGCGTCACAGTATGATTAAATTATCCTAATGAGTCGTAAAATCACAAATCAGTTTATCTAAAGTCAAAAAAGCAAAAATAAAAGAGCAAACAAGGAAATACAAAATGAGTGCTTTCATCTCCCTATTCAGTATAAATTGAAATTGTAAATGTTACCTAATCAGAAAATGTAAAACAAGAGACAAAATCTTGAAAAATGTTCAAGTTATTCTCTGATAAATAAAAAAAAAGGTAATAAAAGAGGCAAACAAACAGAATTGAACACCAAAAAAACTAAACATTCAGCAGTACAAGCCTATTAAATGATATCAGGTAGTGGCATTAATAATCTTTTCTCTCTCTTTCAAACAATAAATAAATCAAATCAGAAAAAGGAATGGGGGGAAAAGGCAAGGAATGATCTAAAGTTGGAAGACAGTGAATGACACAAACAGCGAACCTTCCCGCAGTACCACAGCTGTGCTATCAGAAAACATTATTGGGTTGGACTACATCACAGTTTTAAACACAAGAACATCCTCAAGCTCAACAGTACCATGCTACAGCATCTCACATCACACCACTGGAAAATCAACAACGCTCACAATCAATGCAGACATTCTGGCGGAAAGCTCTGTTCGCCGTGAGGGATGTGGACACAAACTTTCTGAATCGTCATCAAACCCTCATCAGTCCTAAACACACATGCAAGAAACTCCAGCTCAGACGCCTCACTCTATCAAACCTTGTTCCACTTCACTACTTCCTCATAAATCACTTCCCTCTTCATTAATGTCCCACCTTAGTACGAAAGTTCTCATACAGGGGCTGCACTGGGCCACATTTCTTTCCATTCCTGCCCAAATTAAAAGAACACATTAAACGCAACAGCAACATGCACATAAGCCAGCTTTACACTCCGAAAACAAACACCACAGACAGGCTTTTATTGCCGAACACCGTCAAGAAATGTACTGCATATATCAAATTATTACTCAATAATCGAGATATTTCCCTTTGATCTCATTTAAAGAATTCTGTCCATCTGAACTCATTCATCGCTATCCTAGCGAGCTTCAGTCAATTAAAACCACTCATAAATGTTCAATGTTCATAGAAGAATTTGTAAGCTAATATCTGATTGGCGTACGGGTCCATGATGGAAGGATTCGATTTGTGTACTGTATTATTCTAGGAAGGAATGCAATCATGATATTAGACGTAGCGAAGCACGTTAACGCTTAGCATGAACAGGGTTTCTGCAGGTTTTATGAAGGCAAATTTAAGACCAAGTAATGAAAATTTAAGGAACACAATGAGTTCTATTAGCAACACTTCAGAGTTTGAAAACGCAACTTCCAACAGATATCCATTACTTTTTAATTCATTTTGCAAAAAGTGTAGATTCAATAGCTCTGTTCCAAACCACTAGAACACGTAAATAACTTGTATTATATCTTCTGATCACACTGCACAGAAGTAATGTTCTTCCTGTATTTTTGTCTCGTTTTCCAGCGCAACTCAATAAGGATTCTTAAATCAAGATGCATTTTCTGGATAACAACTACAAAATAAGTTTATAAGTAAAACGAGAACAAATATCTGCCAATGGGTTAAGTATAAACTCATTTAAAGGAGTAGTTCACTTTTAAAAATACTTTTGCTGATAATTTACTCACCCCCATGTCATCCAAGATGTCCATGTCTTTCTTTCTTCAGTCGAAAAGAAATTAAGGTTTTTGATGAAAACATTCCAGGATTTTTCTCCATATAATGCACTTTACTGGGCACCAAACGGTCCAAGGTCCAAAAGACAGTTTCAGTGCAAACTGCAAACTGTTCAAAGGGCTTTAAACGATTCCAGACGATGAATAAGGGTCTTATCAAGCGAAACGATCGCTCATTTAAAAAATAAATAACAAAGTTTAAGTTTTATAAGCTCACATGCTCGCCTTGCTCTGTTCTGTGATGCACGTTCGTGACTCTCCTGTTCGAACTCGTTCATCAAAATGAACAAATCTTTTTTCGAGTCATTTGATTCATTTAACGACCGAAATGAACGAATTGACTCGGAAAAAGATTTGTTCATTTTGATGAACGAGTTCGAACAGGAGAGTTACACAGAACAGAGCAAGGCGAGCATGTGAGCTTATAAAACTTAAACTTTGTTATATATTTTTTTAAATGAGCGATCGTTTCGCTTGATAAGACCCTTATTCATCGTCTGGTGTCGTTTAAAACCATTTGAACAGTTTGCAGTTTGCACTGAAACTGTCTTTTGGACCTTGAACCGTTTGGTGCCCAGTAAAGTCCATTATATGGAGAAAAATCCTGGAATGTTTTCATCAAAAACCTTAATTTCTTTTCGACTGAAGAAAGAAAGACATGGACATCTTGGATGACATGGGGGTGAGTAAATTATCAGCAAAAGTTTTTTTTTTAAAGTGAACTAATCCTTTAAATGTTTTCAAGACTTGCTTTTACTTGAGAGGCAAATGTAAAATGATCAAAGACGTTTAGATATGCGTATCGGAAAACAGTACCGAGGAAGATGTTCATTTTTTGCAATGCAACCTTTAATGTCACAACTCAATGAATTTAAAGACCCACAATAGACATTTTACGACCCACAGAAACCCTGATTTAACTTGTCTATACCTACAATTAAACAAAATGATTCCTTGATTTTCACTCTCCTGCCTTGAAGCAACAAGCACGTGCAGAGTTGTGTTTAAATGCTCGAACGCAAAGCACAATGGGACGCGTGTCCTGCTCTGTTACGGACTTTCACATACAGTACTGCCAGAGGACAGCTGAATGAATCAGTGTGGTCTTTTACAGCCCTTTCATTGGTGGAAAGACAAGCAACACATTTCAACATCACTCAAGAAGACAGTCAGATTGAGGACACTCACAATATTGAGAAGAGTCAAACTCCTTAGAGAACAACGGTTCAGGGAAAACAAAATGACAAAACCAACCAAGGCCTTTGCATTGACCCGTCTACATTCGTAAGCCTTTTTAGGTGCATGTGTTTCATTCAAAAAAGGAGACTTAAGAAGCACTCTTAATAAACGAGAGGACAAACAAACAAAAAGAAAAGAATAAGTTAAATTTGCTTAAATATATATATATTTTTCTCATAAAACATAAAACAGTGCTTCCTGCCATTCTTTCCATTAATGCTGTTTTTTTATGTTATAATGCGTTGAGTGGAAAGGGTTTCTTACAAAAAAGTTTGGGCTTTTGGGGAATTCATTCTGATCATCACTGCATAAAACATTCCACATCAGTCAAACATGCCATCTTTTCCATAAAACACTGAGACGCTTCTTCTTAGGGCGCGATATGCAAGAAATAAAGCCTTCCGTAAATACATTTATGGTGGAAATAATCTGAGGAACCATTTGTAACGGGTAGTTTTAGTGACTGCATAGCTCAGGTTCACAGGGCTTTATCTGAAGGAATACTGTGTTGTGGAAAGATGAGGGGTAAAGCTAGTCCTGGTGACTGAGTTGAACACAGATATCCTCTGTGAAGCCTGAGTAAACCGTTTATGGCAGTTTTAACTTTATATAACAGAAGGTGAGCCTTAAAAACAGTAACAAACAAAAGCGATTGTGTGTAGTTCTACTACATGCACCCGAGAGATTGGAATCGTAAAACCCATGTGAATCTCTAGCCATGCAGTTTTATGTTTTCATCTGAACTGAACGGATGCGTCAAACAACTTGATACCAGTTCCTATTGAAAAAGGAATGTGGAGCAACATCTCAAACCAAAAGAGAGAAACCCAATAAATACAAAACTCCTAACAAACAGCTAAAGTTCTCCCATCTCGACCCAACCTTTGGGCTGGAGCTGTGAGGACGTTTGAGCGGGCTGGACCTCGGTCCGACCCCACGTGCAAATTCCCATCACCCTAAATCAGGAGTTTCCATTGGTCTAGCTAAACAAATGAAAGAACCAAGATGGACGATGGAGGGTCAACAGGGCCGGGGCTGTTAGAAGCTGAAGACCTAATTTGTTCCAGTGGTGACCTTGATGAGGAGGATGAGGCAGTTTCGGCAGCGTGGCGCTCACTCTCTCCCGCTGGCGGAGTAGGAGAACTGGGGGAAGTGTGGCCGTCGCTCGTTGTCCATGCAATCCATCCCATCTTCATCGACTGAGGAGAAGGGCACAGGGACAATCGGTCAGGAGGGGGCTAGGCTGATGTCACCGGTCATTTTCAGCCAAGCTTATGCAAATCAAATATTTGATGCAGTTAGCTGAGAAGAAAACTTTATCGGAGCCACTTTTACACTTTCCGTCGGGTCACAAAAAAGCCTGCAATATGCCAAAAAAACGCACCCACACACTTACAGGAAACAAGCTGTTGAATATGGAGTCAGTGGAAGTTTGCAGGCGAAAACAAGGTTGTTACTTTTATTAAAAGGGTTATGAGGACAAAATGTAATTCATCCCACACATCCTAAATATCTACTAGACCTTCTATGAGTTTTGGCTTTGATATTGAAAATATGACTGCCTTAAGGCCTGTTCACACCGGGACGAATTTCGCACGCGTTATTCGCCGACGTTTAACGCCTCGTGACTAAACAAAGGGCGCCTATGCGAGTGTGCACACCGACGCGTAAAACGCCACGCGTAAAAGCGTCATTTTTTTAAAAACGCCTCGGGTTCGTTTTTTTGGTTTGACGCGCCGCGTCAAAAACTATCCGACCAATGAGATTGGCGCTTTTGCTCACGTGTCTGGAGCTTCTGAAGTTACAGTAAAACACAACTTGGGGGCGCTCAAACACAAAACGGTCTTGCCGAGCACACATACGTAACGGCGAAGAAGATATACAGCGTCTACACTCTGCCGGGAAGAAATAAGACGAGGAAGATGCAAGGCTAGATGAATGTAGAGCTGCTGGTCTCGACAATAAAGAACTATATGACAAACGCGACAAACTTGCTCTCTTCTTCTGAGTGACAAGCGAGTGTCAGAAGCGTAGTTGCGCAGCGCCACTTTGTGGACCGGGGTATTTCTGTTTTACATTAAGCGCCATCTAACGTCAGGGAATGAATTTGCGTGTTCACTCGGCTCATCGTCAGCGAAAATCGCTTGGGTGTGAACACAAAAAACGCGTTGAAAAACGCTGACGAATAACGCGAGCCGATATTCGTCCCGGTGTGTACAGGCCTTTAGTTTCACCTCACACTCTCTAAACCTATTTAATTTAGCATTCAGAAGAGTTGATTGGAAGTAGAGTAACCATTATTTGCAGCTGAAGCACAAAAACGTCTCAAAACGTTTTTGATTAGTATTTCATTTAATAAATGTTTATACAGTCAAGGTCGATGATGAAAAAATTAGGGAAATTCAAAGGGGGGGTCAAGTTTAAAACACATGTAATGAGTGCTTAGCATTTGTGTTGGTTTACAAAACTTTTTGAAAAAACATTTTCAACAAGTTTACGTATTAACTGACAAAAGGTCAAGTATACACTATAAGTGTATAAGTTTGCGGTCAGAAAGATGTTTTTAATGTTTATCTCCTCTGCTCACCAATGCGGTATTTTTTTAATAAACAAACAATACAGTCAAAAACAGTAATATTGTGAAATAGCAGTTTTCTATTTCAATATATTATAAAATGTAATATATTCCTTGATGGAAAAGCTGAATTTTCAGCATCATTAATCCAGTTTTCAGTGTCACATGATCCTTCAGAAATATTTTTCATATGCTAGCTGACATATGCTCCTCAAGAAACATTTCTTCTTCTTATTATTGATATTGAAAGCAGTTGTGCTGCTTAATATGTTTGCGGAAACTGATACATTTTATTCAGGATTATTTGATAAATAAAAAGTTCAAAAGAACAGCTATAAATCTAAAATTCTATAAATCTAAAGAATATCGTGGCAAATTTAAAAATGCTTTTCAAGCTCAGGTAACATCTTTACATCTATTATTCTCCAGATTCTGTCTGGGTCTGTGTATGTGAGATGAAGATCAGATGAAATGTATTGAACAACTCATGAATATATAACCAGATAACTTCTTCACAAACCTGAAACAATATTATGTGCGAACAAAAAGTAACACCCGCAGTTTTCAGGCGATCTCGATTTGTGCCAAAAAAAACTATTTTCCAGTACACAGCATACCTCTCACCACTGAGAAGATAATTAATTCAGCACAGTACAACATGATGCCAGTATGTTTTCTGAATACACTTTTATATCATTACAGAATTGCCAATGTATGCAGAGACAAACTCACATTTTTCAGGTGGGGTTATTGTAATCGTCTGAGCTGTGAACTCTTCATCGAAATATCTGGTATCTGTCTCTGACGACACCTGAGGCTTGAAGGGAGGTATCAGCTGAGGAAGGAAGAGAGGGGGATGAAGCACCTGTTTGTGCAGATCTGACACTGCATAGAGTGTGGCGAGCTGGAGGGCTCAATCTAACGCCTCTGAACCGCACCTCCTCTGCCAGCCATTGTCACTTAAACTGCCTTCTCAAATAACACAGTGACCTTTTATAACATTGAGTCACACATAACCTCTGTTTTAACATGTATCATTAAAAGTATTTTGTTGTGTTTCCACAATGAACTATTTAATTTCATGTTTACTGTTTCTCCATTAAAAAGTTTTACACAAAGAAATGAATAGCACATTTAAAAAAAAAGAAAAAGTTTTTAAAAACAAAGCATGAAATAAGAAAGAAAAACAAATTATGAGATATAAAACCCAATTCTGAGATATAGGGCCCCATTTTATCTAAGCGCATGGTCTAAAGTGTACGGCGCAAGTGCACTTAGCTCGTGTCTGAATCCACTTTTGCTAGTTTAACGACGGGGAAAATGGTTGGCGTGCCCGGCACATGGTCTAAAAGGGTTGTCCCTATTCTCTTAACGAGTAATGGGTGTGTTTTGGGTGTAACGTGCAATAAAACAATCAGAGTCTCATCTCCCATTCCCTTTAAAAGCCAGTTGCGCTTACGCCATGGCAGATTCGCTATTTACATGGCGGAATTTGCAAGCGGAAAAACTGAATGCTTCTCTAGCGAGGAAACAGATCTGCTTGTGCGTGAGGTTAAAGCACGCAAGCAGACCATCTACGGGACAAAGTGTACGCGCGTTGTGCATCCACCTATAGGCGGATTATTACCACCTATTACTAACGCACTCTTTAAATAACAAAAAAAATATTGCGCCATTGATTTTAGACCAGGTTTAAGTTGGTTGCAATGCGCCTGAACACAACTCGTTTTCAGACCAGGACGTGAAAATGATAACTTCGTCGGGCTGAAACTAGCAAAAAACACTTGCTAATGCACCTGATGCTGCATTGCACCGGGTGTATGATAGGGCCCATAAAGTCACAATTACAACAACAAAAAAAGTTTGTAATGCAGAGGTGGACTTCAATATCCAGCACAACGTAAAAACACTGAGTGCATCTTTATGTGTAGTAGAGAATTCAGGACAGCATAAATTAAATTCTAAGTTACCTTTTTGTCATAGACATCCTGCCAGTCAATTCCAGTAAAGAAACTATGTCGCATAATTTCCTTAGCATCGTCCGGACCTCCACCAAGTCTGACAGGAAAAATAAAGGAAAGGATATGTATTTAGCCAGAAGACAACTGATGATTTTACACCAGTTCCTGTCTAAATAAGTGAAATATACTGTAGAAAAACCAGTTGAAATGTATAAAGAAATCATTGTGATGAATCTGGGTTTCTGGGTTAGACCAGGTGTGCGGTTTGTACCTCTTATTGGGATCTTTGATGAGCAGACCTGACAGCAGGGACTTGGCATCAGCTGAAAGCGTCCTGGGGAACTTGATGTCCTCCATTAGAATGAGCTCGAAGAGCTTCTCATGGTCCTGATTGTAGAAAGGCAGTCGGCCACACATCATCTCATACATGACCACACCAAGACCCCACCAGTCCACCGCACGGCCGTAATCATTGTCCTCCAGAACCTGAAGACAAACACACACATACACAAACATTCCTGCATGAAAGCATTCATGATTGACCCTCAAAATATCAAAGGTGTACCCCAAAATGTATCAGGACTCTGTACAGAAAGTAAATCTCATTATTGAATGTTGAATGCGTTAAAGGGTTCACCTGTTTAAAATTTAATCATGGATAAAAACTCAAAAAGCTTAAGATCTTAAGAATCTTAAGAACTGTCTCCTTTTTAACTCTTGAGTGTGAAATTGAATCAATCAATCAATCAATCAATCAATCAATCAATCAATCAATCAATCAATCAATCAATCAATCAATCAATCAGTCTGTCTGTCTGTCTGTCTGTCTGTCTATCTATCTATCTATCTATCTATCTATCTATCTATCTATCTATCTATCTATCTATCTATCTATCTATCTATCTATCTATCTATCTATCTATCTATCTATCATCCACCCACCTGTATATCCGTCCATCCATCTATCTATCTATCTATTAGGGGTGGAGCCGAACCCGAATACGGTATTCGGAAAGGTACAAATAACGTGTTTTTTACGAATAGTTATTTCGAACAAATACTTAAAAAAATATTTGTATTCGGGAACAAGAAAAACTTTATATCAAAAAGCTGCGTTTCCTCACGAGACCGCAGTGCATGCACGGATGAGTGAGTTAGAGTGAGTAAGTGAGTGACGTTCAGGAAGAGGTGACTGACACAGGCTTCTCAACACAGCAACAGAGAGGGCTCGGCTGAGCGAAAAAACACTTAACTGCATCACTATTTTTGTTGAATAGATTTTTGTACCTTAACTGGGTTCCGGAGGCAGTTTATAACTTTCGGGAAGCGGAGTTTGATCGGGAGATTATTCCATTACGCTGCATTATTGACGTCTGCAGTCGGGTGCTCTCATGTTCGCTCTGTTTACGTACGTTCGGTTAAAAAATGCTTGTGTAGTTGTGTCGAATTGTATGCACTTGTGGGAGTTATATGGTACGCAGACATCCCAAGTCTCTATTGATAGCGGCTCCCTGAAATTAGTTCAAATCTCCCGGAATCTAACGCGCATGCGAGACAGAACATACTGAGCTCCAAACTGTGTTAGCGCGCGCACGGAAGAGAGCTGCAGAGCAAGAGACCTTGCTTGTGTGCGTTTTGAAAACTAGTCACCCCCCGTCACCAATCCAGTCAACTCCAAACTAGATTTTTAGGCCTATTTTGAATTTTACTCGAATACGAATACAAATACAAATACTTTTCCCTCCTCAACAAATACAAATACAGATACAAATACCGGCTACTTTGCACACCCCTACTATCTATCTGCCTGCCCATCCATCCATCCATCCATCCATCCATCCATCCATCTATCTCTATCTATCTATCTATCTATCTATCTATCTATCTATCTATCTATCTATCTATCTATCTATCTATCTATCTATCTATCTATCTATCTATCTATCTATCTATCTATCTATCTATCTATCTATCTGCCCATCCATCAGTCAATCATTCTATATATCTATCAATTCGTCAGACCATCCATCCGTCCGTCCATGTAACATAACACTGAATCAATTTCATGTCCATAACAGTCATTACAACTGAGAGTTTCAAAATGAATGGCAGTTATGAACAACTGCTAATATATGAATATGAGTAGCTGATAATGGCAGCACTTCACACACTCTCATTGTAGTGCTTCTCATCACCAAAATCATATCAGCGCAAGCCAGCTCTGTCTCTCTAGCCCATCAGCTCTAGACTGATAAAAGCGACTGAACGTTCATTCTGCACCAGTGTATCGGGTCAAACGTCCAGCACAGGATACAGTTGGAACCTGGAAGCACAGTCCTAAAAGCCTGATATCTTTGGATCAAAGCTGTGCTTTTGGGCAAGCATCCCGGGCCCCAATTACCGAGGATGCTCATACACACCTTTACCGGTAGCTCTTAAAGTCTAGGTGGCAGAAACAAGGGGGCTGGAGTTAGTGTGCGATGGAGAAGAGCTCTTCAGAGCAGAGAGTCGTGATTAATACGTCTGACTAATGACAAGGCCGGCTGGCACTAAGCCAGTTAACCATATGCTCAAAGTGGTGTTATAATGATGTCTCCTTTCTGATCTTTAAAAACAGGCAGACCTGCATGAGTCAACAGCAGCTTTCATTACTCCGTCTGATTAGGGAGCACAATATGAACGTCCATGTGTGGAAGCAACGCTAACAACCTCCATACAGTGCGGTGCGTGTATATGACTACGCCACATATTAATGTCAGAACAAATGTGATGAACGCTGTTATAAATGCTGTTCTTTTGAAATTTCTATTCATCAAATAAAAAAAATAGCACAACTTGCTTTCAACATTAATAATAATAAGAAATGTTTCTTATACAGCAAATCAGCATATGATAATGATTTCTGAAGGATCATGTGACACTGAAGACTGGAGTAATGATGCTGACAATTCAGCTTTGCCATTACTGGAATTAATTACACTTTAAATATATATTTTCAAATAGAATAGTTATTTTAAATTGTGACAATATTTCACAATATTACTGCTTTTACAGTTGTTTAATCAAATAAATGCAGTCTTGGTGAGCATAAAAAAAGTAGTGTATGTTACTTAGTGGAATACATGTAAATAAATGTCATCAAACGTGCTAAAAAAGTACATTGAGCAATGTTTGATTTCAACTATATTACATGGTGGAATAATTATTTATTGTGATTATTATTCATAATTAATTGAACTATTTACTGAACATGGGCATCTTTCATCATATTTCTGTTGCAGCTGCTTCGTACAATACAGTTCAAGTGCATTACATTGATTTTTTTTCCCATTTAAGAAGGCTTTTCCTAAAAAGTTATTGCTTTAATTGTGAGAGTGAGTTAAAGTGTGTTCGAATTACACAGACAGAATGGGTGTGTTTGTGCACGTCTATGCGAAGACAGGACAGGACTGTGTGTTCTGGAAGCAAACAGGAGCGCAAGCACCGTTCATGTGTGTGTGCTGCACGTATGGCCGGATTGTGCTGTTTGTCCTGGGAGTGTACGTGAGCAGCTCGGCTGCAGGCGGGGATGCGATTAATGCACACAGAGCCAGTTGGGGTCTCCCTGTTCCAGAGCCACAGGCGAGGAGGAGCGGCCGCAGGGGAGGAACAGGCCCCTGCTCGGACAGCCATGTGGCAGGGCTGCTGCTCCCAGGACTGGGCCCTTGGCAAGACTGGACGGGGAGGGATGGGACAGAGAGCCTGTGGCTCCACCAGCCCAGTTCCCCAGCAGGGCAGTGGAACAGACAGCCTCCATGAGCTTATCCCACTTTGGCCGGGCTATACGAAGACGCTTGCGCATATGCACAGAGATGGGTGTGCAAAGTGCATACAAATGTATGCACACATACTGTAAACACACACAGATCACGGTATCCACGCTTACCTGCTGCTACGCACCTGTACGCATCCCACAAGACGACGAACGCTAGCCACACCTGCATGCTGACAAACGCACGTCCTGCAGGCTCATTTAGATAAAACTAATGTGCTCTGAATCACACCTGGAAACCAGCGATATGTTTTATTGGTTGCAAACATGCTGCAGAAGCGCTGTAATTACTAAATGCTGAAGATGTGACAGATGAGAACTCGATGACAGATGACATGGAGCTTGTGAAAAACAACCGCTATTAGAGAAGTATTTCTGTAAATGTATCTTCATTCATTCTCATTAACACTTAAAACATTTGGTGAGGGCCAAATTTAAGCGAAACTATTCCAATTTCACTTCTGTAACCCTAAAAGAAAATATTTTTTTTCCTCAAAATATCTTTCACACTCTCTCTCTCTCTTTCTTCTTTCTCTCTCTCTCTCTCTCTCTCTCTCTCTTTAATCCCCCTCTACTTTGCATCTCCAGAACTTGGCTCAGGCTGTGCTCTGTTATTTTTACACCAGTACGGCAGTATAGATTTCCAGGTTTCCCAGCCACCTTCTTCCAACCTTCCCCATCTGCCACCATCTGCCTCTGTTTAGCATGTACTTTTTTGTGCAATCACATACTCTTGTGAAAAATAACCAACACTCAAATCATCTCCTGGCACAGCGGCCAGGCTGAGCAAAACAAAATGTTGCGCCAAATTGTCTTCCGTACTTTTTCGAGTGGAATCTATATCCCCCTTCACTCCCGCTGCCGCCCCCTGCCCGCTCCCCCCTCCTGTCTATAAATATGGATTTAGCCACAGCAATCTGGGCACCGTGAACACCTCTGGTTGGACAGAAGGTTGAACAGCTAACTACTGTTCAAAGGAAATTAAAGTGATACTTATTTTTGCTATTTATTTATTTTTAACAGGGTGGGCATTATATTACTAATACAAATATCTAACACTTATAACACTTTCTATGAGGCCTATATACATATAATGGAGTGGAATTGTATTCATATATTAATATAGTATTTATTTACACTACCTTTCAAATATGTTTTTGTAAGAAAAAAATACTTTTATTCAACATGGATGCATTAAATTGATTGAAAGACATTTATAATGTTACAAAAGATTACTTTATCGAATAAACATGTTTGAACTTTCTATTCATCAAAGATAATTTATTGTATTCTGATCAAATAAATGCAGCCTTGGTGAGCAGAAGACAAAGTGTATTTATATGTAGGCCTATTATTAATATATATATATATATATATATATATATATATATATATATATATATATATATATATATATATATATATATATATTTTTTTTATACTATTATTTTTTTAAAGATCGAACTTGTAAAAAGTGCATTACAAATTTATATATATATTTGTAATACACTTTTTTACCAGGTCGATCTTTAAAAAAATAATAGTAACTTTAGTTATAATACATTACATTACAATACTTTGCTCCTTGCACATTTAAAAGCTAAAATTCAGAACAAATGACATAACGTCAATTTGTTTGCCAGATGTTTTAAACTATTGTATTGTTTAAAGCAGC